ATGAGTATTTGTTCCTGCAGATCTAGAAAATTGTTTTATCACACCTAAGGCTCTATATGGGGGTTATAATCTTTGATAAACACAGATAATAAATACAAAGGATAGCCTAATTTGGCTACAGGAAGTAAACAGTAACTGCAGGCTCAGATTCTAGGCTGAGTCTAAAGGAAGGTATGCGGAATGTGGGTGTATGCTCTGCAATTCAGTGAACACCAGTGAACGTCAGCAAAGAGTTTATTAAATTCTCACCTGCTAAACCAGGAATACGTTAGTTTACTAAAGAGAAAAACACCTTCTTCAGGGCTGCTTTTCTGTTAAAAAAAAATGAAAAAAATATCAGTGCTACTAGAAAAAAAAAAATTTTACAAGAAATATAATTATTGGAAGCTATTTAATTCTGAGCTATAATGAGAGCTATTGGTGGAAATAAAAATAAAAAAGATATTATGTTTTATATATATATTTATTTATTTTAGTTACAATTTTACTCAGCATTTTACAAATTACCAGAACATTTTTTCACAGCAGTATTTACCACCTTTTTTTTCAGACTGGCCTCCCAGACTGTCTCCTCCTCCTGCCCTATTCTGTCCCTTCCTCCTGCTTCCCTGCTGGTATCCAGTCCAACCCAAGGCCTGTGCTAMACGTGCAACTCTTTTCATTACTTGCACCATCAATAGGCTCTTTCTCTCTTAACACCAGGCATGAAGTACAAGAGAAATGTACAGCAGTTTAATAAAAGAACCTCCCTCTCTCTAAGAAAACATAAATCACCACCTTAGCTTGACTTTACACTGCATGTGCATACTTCAGAGAATGATAACATGAACAGTAAATCATACACAATATAAATAAACCTTCCTCAAAAGCCTGATTTTTTTTTCTATTTACTTGATAACCTATTGGGAGAACAGCAAACTCCCTTTGTATTTTAAGACAGGAAGGACTACTAATGTGTAAACTACATTATATATATAAAGTAAAGGGGAGGGGAATATAAAGATTGTGTCATTGCCAATTTCATACATTGTCTGCTGAAATATGTGTAAGAAAGGAAAGCAAATATGAACTCTCCCACACTTCCTGAGTAATTCGTATCCACACCCTCAGCACACCTGAAGAGGAATTTCTGTGGCTCAGAAACTTAAGTGTCACACTGAAATCATTTCTAACAAGAAACAGATTTCTAACACTCACAGATTTGTGCTGTAGGTGGCATAAAAACTCATCTGTCAAAAATACATAGTACTGGTGCACTAAGACCCTGTATGTTTTCACAACAGTAATTTGTTGTGCTTTCAGTCAAAATAAAACAAAACCTAAAAAGCTAAAGAAATAAACACACTGGAAATAAATGCACATATGCACCCAAAAAGTTGTCTCTGTACCAAAAAGCATAGCTTGCTGTGCATRTGATGGAGAAGCTTGCCCTTTGGTATCAGATTTATGTGTCTGTCATTGTACATTACGAAAGGTTAAATCCACACACAGCRTTTTTACTTATTAACTTCTACTAATGCAGAATGGTAGAAATGTGGGCATGGCCATCTATTGGCTTTGGTCAAGTCCTGCTCCCACTTCTGCCATTAGAAAAGTTTGCACTTCCTTAAAAAAAAAAAAAAAAACAATAAAAGCAGAGGGGAGTGAGGGGGACAGATACACTGAACAAAACTCTGGTCTTAAAAATATTCTCTCTTGCCTATAAATTCAAAGTATGTATCCCAGGACATACCTGCAACACATAACACTTCTTAAGTGCATTTTGACCAAAAAAAAAAAAAAAAAAAAAAAAAAAAAAACAACAACAACAAAAAAAAAACCTTCAGGAAATCCAAATCCAAGCCGGCACTCCTTCACTGCCTGGCAGCTTGGGGTTGAAACCTTGCTTTCCTATAGAAGTCATGTGGGTTCCATCATAGCCTGACCACCCTTCCAACAAGCAATTTATGGGATTCTCTGACCGTGTTTATTTAGACAGGCCCCTCTCTGGTTCTGGCTTGTCGAGGCTGCCGCTCCCGGTGCCGGCAGGCCCCGCCGCATCCAACTTTATCCGTCGTGGTCCCACCAGCCGCTCTCCACCTCTCGCAGCCCTTGACAGCAGCCCAGTAACCCCGAGCACGYAGCGAACCGACACCTGATCCCTTAAGACCGGGCAGCCTCCTTCACCCAAGCGCACGCACTCTAATAAAATACCCCCCCGCGCCGCGCCCGGGCCCCGCCGCGCCGCTCACCTCGTGGAGGCCGCGCCGTGCCCCGCGGGAGGCGCCCATGGCGGCCCCGCTGCCCCGGGCACCGCTGCAGCCGCCGCCGGGGCGGCCGCGGCCTCGCGTCGCTTCGCGCCGGAACGGGGCGGCGCGACGGCCGCCGAGCCCCGCCCCGCGGGACCGTTAACGGCCGTTAAACGCGTAGGCAAAGCCGTGCAAACGCAAACCCTTACAATCACAAACCCATACAAGCGCAAACCCTTACAATCACAAACCTGTACGAATACAAACCCAAGTACACATCGGTTCCCTGTTTGAAGTGGAGCGCCATAGTGTGGTCACTGCCTTGTACTGTTGGATCGCATGTAAACGAGTAGTTTGGCCGTGTCCCGAGTGCTCCCCTTGTGACACACCATGSCTACATATTCTCTTAACACACTGAGGGGTTCTGGCTAAGCGGCTATTGAGAGGTGCTACAAACCCATGCTTCCCGCTTCCCGCAGGGAACAAAAAGAGAAGGACTAGGAAGAAAGCGGCTAAGAAAAATCATCTYTAGAATAGGATGGCTGCTTCATCATGTACACACATATGATCATGTGTGACATTTTTGTCACACTCACATGTCACAGCTCACATTTGATCATGTGTGATCTCCCCGGTACAGGGAGGTTGTGGGGTCTCCTTCTCTGGAGATCTTCCAGACCCGCCTGGATGCCGCCCTGTGCCCCGTGCTCTGAGTGTCCCTGCTGGAGCAGGGGGGGTTGGACTAGATGGTCTCCAGAGGTCCCTTCCAACCTCAACCATTCTGTGATTCTGTGATTTTTTTGGCATAAAATTGTGCACAGCAGATTACTGAACCTATCTTCTGGGGAAGATGGTCAAGGACATACTATCATGGTCTAAAGTTTATCTAAGCTAATTCTGGTTTGGGAATCCATCYGGTTTCATCTGGTAAAGGCAAGATCAAGGTAATGTTAACATATTCTTCCTCTACTTCCTCTACTTGGCTATGCTTACTCTACTTAGCTATATTTACATTTAAGTTTAAAGAAACTGAGTGTATTTCTCTTGTTAACTTTATTATCCTAGCAGCTTCTGTAATCCGCAACTGACTGGTATATTAGTCATATATTTCACCAGAAGCTGGATAATATTTACATAACATAGATTATATAGGTTATAATCTAAAGTTACTGATACTATCTAAAGTTATAGATCTATAACATAGATTATTTAGATTATAATCTAAAATTACTGATCTGATGATAATTGTCAGCATGAAAAGACAGAATAAAAGATAGATGTTGCAGGCATTTGTGTGGAAGAGTGGAGGGAAAAGGGAAAAGGGAAAAGGAGTCAGGCAGACTGAGAGTTTCTTAAAGATGTAAGGTGTAGAATTTTGTATATACTCTTTCTGGAGATGGTTGAACTTAGTTTTTCTGCGAAGGTCACTGGAATCTAAATGGTAGACTTAATTTTATGCAGTATTAAATAGTGGAAAATTCTTTTTTTTTCATTTTCTCGTATAATAGTATCATACAAGTGTTTCATCATACTTTGTCTTGTATTAAATGTCTGTATCTGTCTGCAAGTGTTGATGGTAACTGTGAGGAGTTAGAAGTTGTGAAAGATATTGAATAGATCATTTCACTATCTTGATTCACCACCATGTGAGTTTATTTTTTTCTCTGCTAAACAGAAGAAGACTTTTCTTCTTAATAGGCAGTAGAAATTCACCTGACTCCTGCTCTTATGCTACCAAAGAGAACTCTAATGGAGATACTCCATTACATTTTCATCATTTGTTACAAATAACAAATTCATTGTTCCTCCTTCTCCAGGACAGGAGGCAACAGCAATGAACTGAAGCACAGGAAGCTGAACATGAGCAAAAACTTCTCAACATTGAGGATGACAGAGCCCTGAACAGGCTGCCCAGAAAGGCTGYAGAGTCTCCTCTGGAGGTACTCAAACCTGCCTGGAAGTGATCCTGTGTGGCGTACTCCAGGGRGTTTGGATTAGATGATCACCAGAAGTTCCCCCAACTTTAATACTTCTGTGATTCCCAAACAAGCACTAGAAAATAAATTTACAGAAAGATGCATATATTCATATAGTTCTTGTSAGTTCATATTGAAGGTCTAAAGTATAAGGTCTAAAGTATACACATTCATTTGAGTATTGATACACGTGCAATTCATGTAATTGCTGCAAGTGACCTTATTTTAYCCCCCCCCAAAACTACTAACTGGAAAAAATCAGCTCTAGCGTATGTACAATATCTATAGATCTTTACTATAAATAACACCAGAGCTAAGTCAGTAAAGACTCTTACATTTAGTGGAAGGGAATGTATGCTGTTCATGCTTTAGTGCCAAACATAAAATCTTGATCTGACACTCAGAATCTCTGTCCTGCTCATTGCTTTGACTTTATCAACATCTTCAGACAATTACACTGTTCACAATAATACATTCAAGATACATCCACTGGTGACAGAAGTGCTTCATGAATGGCTGAAATTAACACAGAAATKTAATGGAAGTACATAGTGAAATAACAATTCTCCACAGTTTCTTGGGGAAAATAAAAATACTCTTTTCCCTTTATTAGGAAAATTTCATCTTCTTAAATTTTTTCCTATATCCTAAATAGTACTACAGTGTTAGGATACTTTATACATTTCACATTTCAAATATAATATCATACACATTGAGAATTACTTTTCCTAATAAAGTGCAAAGAGAGACAATTTCTCCTCCCCACCTCCCCCCCCCCCCCCCCCCCCCCAAAATGCAATTAAGTCATGGAAAGAATGAATCCATTTCACAGTATTAATGTTTTTTCTTCTTGGCTTTGCACTTGTAATTTTGATCACATTCTCTGTGTTTCTTTTTGTCATTCTCAATACAACTGTCACTGTCACAACTTAGATATTCTCTCTTTCTTTTGGAGGTGCTTTCATCCTTCTGGTACACTTCAGAATCACTGGAGTGTGGCAGGGCCCACTTGAAAGAATTTTGTCCAGGCTTAAAATTTGCAACTTGATTCTGACAGGAAGGCAAGAATGAATTTGAAGGCAGTGGTGAAATCATCTGATTGAAAGGAAATTGTTGACCCACTGGACTGTGTACTGTGTACTGTTGTCCTAAAAAATGGTTCATCTAAGAGAAGTAAAAAAAAAAAAATGTTAATACTGTTCAGAGAAAGTTTTCAAGAGCTTAAATTTGCATGCATTACAGCTTCTATCTGAAAATACTGACAAGTGTTCTCCTGACAGCAAGACTTCCTACTGACTAGCAGTGTATGTCCTATGTGCAGACTCCTAAGTACTTGGCAATAAGTACTAATTAAGTGCCTGGCCCATGCAAATAAAGGTGAGGGATATGTGTGTATGGGGTAACATGTGAGAAGAGCTCATTCTACTTAAGCTAAGCCTAGAGCAACAAGTTCTCACTGGAGACTGCCAGCCCCTCTCTATTTCTGTCCTCAGGCTGCAGCTAGCAGGAATAACCTGACCAAAGTTGACCTTTTCTGCTAAGGTGKTGGATCATCCTCCAGTCAGACTCGSTGGTACCAATACTGCCTCCAGTATCCCACATTAAAAGACAGCTTCATTACTACTGATCAAGGCTCATCAGAATTAGAAGCTCCACAAAGGCGTTTGGTCAGCTGGATTTGCCCAAAAGGCTGCCATGTGAAGAAGCTACTGCAGTTGCCTTGCGGAATATCTCRGTAGGGATGAGTTAAGGAAGAACAGACCAGTAGCATCATGTTCTGTGAGAGAGGAACTGGAGTAGCACTTCTTGCTTCTTAGTGCAATAAAAGCAAATAATGCATGTGAGAGCTGCAGAGACATGAACACGCAGAGTTCAACAATAATCGTTGCCCTGACTCATTTCTGTCATTGCTTGTGGTGGTTTGTTATGGGAGTTTTCATTTGCTTTCACATAGGGCGATGTTTTAGATGTGGGCAAATCTGAATCATGCTGGAGAGTTAGGAGACTCCCTGACTGAATTCCTGGGTATGAAAAGGCTATGGCTTGCATGGCTCTCATTCTTCTAGGTTAGCTTGTCTCAACAACAGGGCATGGAACAAGAAACAGTAAAGAATTCCTCCTGTAGATTTTCTCAATATCTTAAGCAATACTTTAAAGATATTCTATGACTTAAAGACATTCTTAAAATAAAAAAAAAATAGTTTGTTTCTCTATTATAGTATCCTTAAATGATAAAATTAACTGATTTCATATAGTCAAAGTTTGTAGTCTACAGTACATTCTGAGGTATCATATAAGCACCTTTATTTGCAAAAAAGTAAAATGTCTTCAACTTCACAGATTCCCCTTGCTTCCCYTCTTCCCCCATTTATAACTTTTAGTACAAACTCACTGTCTTTTGAAAGACTGAGAAGTCCTGAGGTAAATTATTATTCATTGGAAACGGAGTAACAGGAAATGGAGGATTTCCATAAGGTTCTTGATACCTAGGTTAAACAAGCAAATAAACAAARGACAGCCTTTCACCAAATACTGCTTACTGTAGTGCTGATATCTAACTATTGGGATAGAASAAGTACATCCATGAGAAGGATCAAGATGTTAACAACTGAATTTCCATGAAAAAAAGCATAGTAAGACAAAGAAAATACATCCTAAGACTCAGTCTGTGTATCATCTTCACATCTACTTAAGGTCACAAACTCGAAAGAGTTTCCRATTTATCTGTTGGAGTTTAGCTCCTGTGCAGGGTTCTGTCACACTTCTGAACAAAAATACTGAATTTGCAATGTTGCAAAATACTGAAACTAGGGTGTTTGTAAYTCCTTTGGCAGTTTGTGCCTGTGCCTTCATATGTGTGACAGCTGCTCGTGCAAATACACATCATTATGAATAGAAACTATTATGAATATAATTTTTTTTAAAGCTCAATTCCATTATTAGACTTTAAGCCCTAGGAACTATCAATGGAAACATTTCTAGTATGAACACTGTACTTCAATATTCTTTTGTTGTTTCTATACCTTGTAAAAACAAATGAAGACTGGAAAGCCAAAGCTGCTTGAACCTCTGGATGCAGTCAAAAGTAGGCTTATGGCTGCTTTTATGAAGAGTCTGCAGACTGATTCCATATTGCAAATTTAAAATACAACATATTAAAATCAAAGGGAATCTTTTATGGCAATATAGTACAGTTATTAAGAATCTGTCTTAACGATAGAAATCAATTATTGTGCCTTAGAATGGAGGCACATTAATGTCTCTGCTAAATGTGTGTGTTTTGGACAAAAATGAATGTCACATGAATGTGCTAAAATATGTTACATTAAAAATATTTCCTCTTAAACTATTTGAAGAGAATCCTGGGTTATATTCTGATTTTTCTGTTATATTCTGATTTTTACTGTGTTAGGACCTTGTTCTGTTCCTATAAATAATATCAGAAAGGATAATTTTTCTCATTTTATACATCATATTTTTGAAGGATAGTGCTACTCTTTGTAACACAGTACCTTATTCTACCACATCAATTCACTTTTTAATGAGATTAAAAAGCAATCATGCAATTAAATTCACATGTGATATTTGTTACCTATATGAAGGTGAACATGTGTCAACAGGGTTGTCAAAACYGTGTGCAGGGTTGTTCAGTTCTGAAGAGTGTGAACTCCCTATAAATGAGACAAAAGCATAATAACTAGTCAGTTATGACTGTTTGATTAACCAGTTAAAACACAGAAAGTGCTCTGTCATGAGTGGTGAGCTAACATATTAGAGTAGTTGTAAAGGCAAAAGTGTCATATCTCAGCAGACAGAAGTCTGTATCATCATTTTAATSCATGAAAATGTTCTTTTTTTCAAACCTATTTATAGAGGCATAAATCAGGGTTGTTGAAATTATCAAAACCAGAATCATTCCCTCCCATCCGCAGGCAGATGTTTCTGATTTTAGAAACCTCAGTCATTTTAAGTGAAAACAGRAGCTATTCTATACAGCCTGCTAAAGAACAAGTACTCCAGTATGAACAKTAGAGCTAAGTATTTGGGCAACAAACACTGCCTTGATCATTAGTTTTACAGAAAGTTTATTTATATAAACATAAAATGAAGCATATGAATTTGACTGTATTCTTCTCTCTATAGTCCCTCCTGCTTAAAAGCTCTGGTATGGCCTTAGTATAAAGCCTATCATCAGCCTAAGTGTAACTTGTCATGTAAAACTACCATGCCAAAGTTGAACATGCTTTCCATAGTGTGTGGTCTGAGCTGGATTATAAATTATGCTGTTCTAAGCCAACCTATTGTTTCTTTCTAAATAAAGAAGACACAAAATATGAACCATTCCCTATGCAAAAGCCAAGGTTTGGCTTGCAAAAAGGTTACCATTTCTTAAAAAGAATGGACTGCAATGTGTTCAACTCTAATTATCTTTCTAAAAGAGTTTATAGAATTACAGAATCACAGGATGGTTAAGGGTGGAAGGGACCTCTAGAGATCATCTAGTCCAACCCCCCTGCTCCAGGAGGGACACCCAGAGCATGGGGCACAGGGCGGCATCCAGGAGGGTTTGGAGAAGTCCTCGATGCAAAAACTCTACAATCCTTTTTTTTTTTTTTTTTTTTTCTTTTTCCAAATAACTAGAATTTAATTTTAGCAACTACTCAGGCAAACTTAACCATTGAAACTTCTGAACCTACCGAGCCGATATTGCACTTTAATTGGTCTTCCATACAAACGGATTCCATTCAGCAAAGCTATTGCATAAGGCACTGATTCAGTGTGCTTAAAGCAGACAAATCCAAAAGACTTCGGTTTTCCTTCTTTGTCCTTACAAATGGTCACTTTGGTCAATGGTCCAGCCTGAAAGAAATTGTTGTATTATTTTCTCATATAACTTATCAGAGTGTCTTTTCATCTGGCTTTGAATGTGTATTTCATAATGAAGAGTATAAGTTTCATTACTTAATTTTGAACATGTGTCTCCACACATGCTGGCCACTATTTCTGAGCTTTCTCTATTAAAGCATCATTCTGTTTGTTCTCTCTTATAACTACACAGTTAGATCCTCTTCACTTTTCTATAATCAGCTAAAACAAAACTATGAGAGCTATATGGATTACAGTTATATATCCATTATGTGGTTATATGCATACGGGAAGACTAAGTTATCAATTATTTGTGGTACATACACAGCTATCAGCACAATTGCTATAGAGGTTTGTGCCCAGCTATTTTAACTCCGCAAACTGATAATACCACTGGCTAGAAGTGACCTTCTCCATTACTTTCTGTTTAAAATCCTAAAATGAGTAGTATCAAAACTGTAAGAACAAACCTGAATACAGAGGAGTACTCACAGAACAAACCCTAAACACATATAGAACAAGTTTTCTGTTAAGAACTAACACTAATGTATGGCAAGGTATCAAGAAACCACTTATCTCATCAAGGACAACATACTCTTTTTGATAAAAAAAAGGAGGAAAAGAGGAAACCTAGCCTGAAATATCTTCACTGAAAAGGCATTCCATCTCCACTCATTTGCAATGCTTTAATCTAAGGTTAGTATTTCCTTAAGAGCCAAAATAAAGCAGTGATATTCCATAAATTTTAGCTCTATTTTCAAAGAAACTGTCATTTTCATAACACATGTTGAAGATGACGGATCTTTATCAAGACTGAATATTAGTCAGTGAATTAACGTCTTCTCGCCAAAAAGTSTGCAAGTTCGTAAAGCTGATTTAGCAGGGTGAAAAGAGAGGGCCCGAGGATGTTTCCTCTTGGCCAGGAGTGTGTAAGATCCAACTGTTTTATTTAGGAGGATGCAACATGTCACGTAATTGCTGACCTGGGTAGGTTACAAAGTAATTCTCCAAATATGGTCACAGAATTACCAAATGTCTGAATCACTGATGGAGTATTCATGGTTTAGCTCAGGCAAAACACAATTTAACTTATGGCTTAACAGTTTTACAACAATTAAAATGTCCATAAACAATTAGTTTCAAAATAAATACAAAGCATATGTTCAGATGTAAAACTTAAGGCACAGAAAGTAATTTACTTTATATTCTGCATTTTTGGGCATTAAGAGTGATGATGTGGAGCTGTCTTCTTCCAAGTTATTAGACTGAAGACAATAAAGACCTTTATATGTAATAACAACATCTGAAAGGGATACATTTATCTTGCCATCTGAGTRTAAACTACTCCTAATTTAAGTAAGAATTCTATAATTCTGTGATTCTAAGTAAGATGTTTCTTTCTCAAAATATGAGCAACATTTCCTTGCTTTTGTCCTACTCTTCCAAGGAAAAATAGAGCAGCAATATAGACAAACACTAAGGATCGAAAACAATGTACCATTTTTATTTTCAGTGATATTCATTTTCAGGCAATACAGTAGTGCATAACACCTAAGTTTCTGCATATCTTGAAGTTTGCTTTTTTTTTTAATAAAATGTTTATTTTTCTTCAGTGACTCTTCAAGGCATTTTTGATGTTCTGCGCTACTCTACAATTTTTCTAAAAATGACATATCTAGTCTTCTGATTATTATTTGCCTAGTAAAGAAGATCTGTTTTTTCAAGAACTAAAAGCAACCAAATCATGTGCTTTGCAGATCAATCTTTTAAATATGTGGCCTTCACAAAWAAAAATATGAATAATTTAAGTAAGTAATAATCATAAATATTTTCTCCTCATTTGACAGGAGGAATACTAGAGCTCAGGAGCACATTTTAAGGCTAGAATGTACTATGAAGACCGAAGAGCATATTCTCCAAGAATGGAMAACACTGCAAACAGAAGCACAGGTTGTTGCCAGAAAAATCAGAGAAGGGCGAGTGAGACAAAGAGGAAAGTAAGTAGGTGTTACTGGGATGGCCTAAAGACATGGACAGAAGTCAGCAGTTAGATGAACTGAGGCAGATCAGGCAGAACAGGCATGCAGAACTGGATTCTAGGAGCATCCACCTATTTTTATCACTTTGGTGCCAAGATTTGTGTCATATTACTCATGCCTTGCAATCTTGCCTAGTTAATAGGATGACTTCCAAATGAAAAAGATGAATAGAACTGATCAGCAGAAAAAGCTTTGGTTAGCAAATGAAAGGAACAATCTTTTATTATTATTATTATTATTAGTAGTAGTAGTAGTAGTAGTAGTAGTAGTAGTTTTAGTTTTAGTTTTTAGTTTGTTGACGTAACAGATAGAGGCAAGCTTCATTCTGAGATTATAGGAACAAAACCGATTCATGAATGCAAACCTGTCACCATCCTGTTGGCTCAACTGTCCAGCCTGAGTACTTTAAGCTTCAAAAAGATTGTCTAGGATCGAACGAGGAGAAAAAGAAAGAAGAAAAAATCAGGAAAAAACACGAAGGTTTTGTAAATGCCAGAGATCAGAACTGAAACGGAACCAGTACCTTAAGACAGCCCAACCCTGAAGCAAGTTTCTGTATATTGGTAGCRTTTAATAAATGGGTTTTTGTTTCTTTAAACGATTGAGAGTGTAGTCAGCACAAGAAGAGATTGCAAAGGACATATCTCCTCTTTGTTGCTGTATTTCCTCCTTRCGTAACTCGACCTCTAAAGGTGCASTTTAAATTCCAATTTGGAAAATAAATAAATGAATAAATAAAGAACCAAAAACCCCACCACCGGCAACAACAACGTCAAAAGCAGCTCTGGCTATTTAATACAGTCCTTCCAGCCCCCTGCAAAGAGGGCARATACAATTTTAACAGCCTCTCAAGTATCAGACATCAAAAAGGAGGCAGCCCGCGGCCGAGGCTGCCCGTTACCGAGAGGCCGGGGAACGAACCCGGCCCCCGTCGCGCCCGTCCCGCTTCTCCCCGTCCCCCCTTTCCCTGTCCCACCTGCAGGAAGAGCTCGTAGAGGATCTCCTCGCGCACGCGGCTCTCCAGGTTGCCCACGAAGAGGGTCCGCTCCGCCGGCCCGGCCCGCCCGGGCGACGACATGGCGGCGGGCGGGCGGGCGGGCGAGCGGCCCCTCGCGCCCCGCGGCCGCAAACCGCCGCGCGGCGGCCCGCGTTGCTGGGAGACGTTGCCGCGCGACCGGGCGCGTTGCTCGGAGACGTTGCCGCGCGACCGGGCGCGTTGCTCGGAGACGTTGCCGCGCGGCGAGGCGCGTTGCTAGGAGACGGGCGCGAGCTTGGAGGGGGAGGAAGGGGAGGAGATTTTTCTGAGTTTTAAGACCTGCTATGAAAATAAACCATAGAAAAAGCTCTATTCGCTSCTTGCCGTCTTGTGGGCTAAGCGGGTACTGCAGCTGCTTGTCACTGGCAGGGACAAGCTTCAAAATCTTCTGGGGAGCTACAGTCAGCAACAGGATAAAGCGTTTTGGTAGATGCTAATAAATGCAAAGTTGGAGGGTTGGAAATTTTACCTTTCTCAATATTCTTAAAAGAACTAGGGCATGAATGCTGCCTTTAAAGTTGAGATTAAGCCTGCACTCCCACTTACTGCTTCATGGTTACTTGGATCCAATGCACACTATCCATACATATATTTAAAGTTTTATTTTGGAAAAAAAACAACTCCCCCCCCCTCCCCCCCCATATTTCTAGAAGACATCTTTCTAACAGCAATGTAAAYAGCTTTCAAATAAATTATTGTTTTCCCTAAGCATTAATGATGTGCTTTGCCTCCATGCCCATTGTTTTCCAATGGAGATTTGGTTACTGAATTGTCAAGTGTAAGCTAAACATCAGTATTAAACTGTCTCTTTTTCTTATATGTACTTACAGGAAGGGATTATCAATTAACATGAGTTATGAGCTACAGTGCAGCAAGTATTTAGATTGAATTTTCCTCCAGACAGGCAGGATTATTTCTTTTCTAGTTTTCCTGTAGTTAAACAGTCTGTGTTGCTAAAATGGAGTCTTGCCTGAAAGGAAGCAGCGCACATAGGCTAGTGGCTAGAGGGCAGTGAGCATTTGYTCTGAAAAGGGGATATAACTTGATTCATAAGGAAAACGAAAATTTTTAAGAGAGGGGGATTTCCCAGGATTAGGAGATTTTMAAGGGCAGAGAGAAAAAGGTAGGAAGGTAAATACCGCATTTACGTATGACTACAGATCAGGTGATCAAGAACAAGAGTCTTGCGTAAGGATTTGGTTTTAACTTTGGAAACACCATGCAAGAATTCTTAAATCCTTTTAGCTATGTTTGCTAACAGGACCTTTTGGAGCTAAACTGAACTGTAGGACTGGCTGCCGCTCTGCTGTCTGTAAACCACAGTAACCTTTACTTGTTTTTGCAGTATAATAAACTTGTCTTTTTCTTTTTCTTTTTTTTTTTTTTTTTTTAATATGAATGATTGACTCTTCCTTATTTTTTTTTTCATTCTCATAACTCATGGCTCATTCACGGGTTGTCACCCCTATGGCTCTGAGCACAGTGGGACACAGACTGCTCAGGAGGCAGTGCGGTGTCTTGCCACCGGTTTGCACAAGCCACTTTAGGAGCTGGTAACTCTTTCAGTGTGACACTGGCACGTCCTTACGAGAACAGCAGTATGCAGAAAAATCTTAACGTGCAGCAAAGAGGAACAGACAGTACCCGAACTTTCAGGGTCTCCAGTTTGTGTGTGACACTGGTACCTGCAACTCACAAGCACTGCAATGAATCTGTCTGAAAGTGGCATGTCAGTAGAAACCATAGTATGAGCCTTAACTGCATGATCTATGAATCTCCAAGCGCCTCTATTTGTTAAGCAGAGCCACTTTTTGTTGCAGTACCACTCTTYGTTGTAGAGTGGTGGTAAGCACTCRTTCAACAAGGTGATTAATTATGAAAAAAATTCTAAATATTTAGTTAGCGGTAGATTTGTACCTGGTCCTGGTTTCAGTGGGCTTTAAGGCATGTTTGCTTCACAGGCTGTTATATCAAAATGGGTGGCATAGTACTTTATATGTGATATGGGCCTACTGGTTTTCAGTTCYACAAGAAACTTAAACTTTCTTTTTTCCCTTTTGCCTGTGAAAGAGCAAGCAAGGACRAGCAACTTATTCACAGGTATTAGCATGTATTAGCATTAGATGTAATTTCAGGTACATATAAGAGAATTTCTTCTAATATGAGGCAATTGGCTCATGGGTAAGTGTGGCAAGTCTTTTAGTAGAGCTCATTACTGGTTCCAGTACCCAGCATTTTCCTGTACAGAGCATTTTCATTGGTGCTGAGTTCTCCATCCTTAACTTGCTAAGCCTGCATAGCGAGGCTACCTAACCAAAGGTTGCCTGAATACACTCAGTTTTCATTAGATGTGACAGAAGCATATGACTATACGTAAACATAAACTATAGTGTTATTTATTCTAAGAAATACTTTATATCAATATGTCTCTGTTTTCATAACAGTAGTTGTAGTCTAAGATGAGGGATAAAGAGGGACTGCAAAAAATAACAAGTGTTGCCTTAATGCACTTCAATGAGAATAGCATGACAATTTTGAGAATAGAAAACATAACTAAACAAAACAAAASTTACTGGTTAAGCAAGGCGTTTTGCATGTGAATAGTCAGGCTGCATTGTCTTCTGGTCATCTTCGAATTCACAGGGGTAAAGACTTTAAAGAGACTTCCGAAAGGTTATCACCTGCAGAAACTTTTCTTGCACAGTTTTGCTGAGCTCTGGGAATGCAAAGCTGACTGTAGAGACTGATCACTGAGAAGTAAATAAGGAAAAGCCCCCTGTTACTGATGGTGGAAGGAAAAGAAGGAAACACAGACCGTACCTGTGAAAAATCCACCATCTAGAAAACATCTCTGGCATGTCTGGCATGCTTCTGCATCATATCTAAGTGGTTCTGGTATCTCCTTTTTTTTTTTTTTTTTTTAGACCTCCACAGTGGAAGTAATTGGGCTAGATATATGAAAACCAAGCATTCAGTCTTCTAACTGGGATAATGCAGAGTTTATCTGTCTCTTTGCCTTACCAATGAACTCCAAGAAAGTTTAGTTTGTCCTGTTATATCTATCTGGTGAACTGAGTTGTTAATAAATTAGCTTCACAAAGATAGATGTTTCTTCATTTGYTTTACAGTTGGAGACACAAAGAGAATGAAGCTAAGTGACATACTCAGAATACCCAGCAAGTTGGTGTCAGAGTGAGAATTATAAACCTGGGGCTCTAAACTCCATCTTTCTCCCATATACTTTCCCAAATGTGCTCTAGATTTACATTAGAGTTACTCTTTAAAAAGCTCAGAAAATTATTTTGTGTGCAAGCTAAACCATGGAGAGGTAGATCTCAGAATTATTGTCAGGTTCTTACAGAGAATTTGTTCCATAGCATATATGACTTCTTATTGCAAGTTTCTTATGCCCATCCCAATGTCTCTTAATTCCAGGTTCCACAAAWCACCAGTTGAGTGACACTTTTGAAAACAGCCACATGGTGGGTCTCTAAGGTGAGGTACAGCTGTTTACTCAGCTTCCTTATTTTCACACACCTAACAGAGCTGTTGGTAATACACAGCATGAACTTACGTGTAAGTCTGTGATAGCCAAAGAGAGAGGGAAATAGATTTTAAAAAATCCCAACCCTGAAAGTCCAGAAACCACCCTACCTACTGAAGTCATTCAATAGGAGGAGTCATGAATTGCAGAAGCTTGAATGCAGTTTTGCTTTCTGCTTCCTACTCTACCTTCCACCTACTTCGTCAGTGGCATTCAGTTAAGTTAGAAATCTAGCATGGTGTAAAGAGTATTTCCACTTGTTTGTGGATGCTACGTATTCCTTTTCTCCATTTCCACATGTTGAAATTTTATTTCTTCATCTGTCTGATGTGCTGGGTGAAATCAGGTAAGAACACCATTAGCTTACTGTTTGTGGTATAATCTCTTGTCTTTATTCAAGCATGGAAAACTAATATTTCTTCATGTAATTTGGTCAAAAGATTAAATCTTGTGAATTATTCCTAATGGAACAGTTTATTCGTAAAGAGAATTTGATCACTTTGAAACAAAGTCAAATGTTTTCATTTTAAAGTAAATAGAGCAAAGCCTGGTAYGTTATCTGTTGTTGTACTTTGTACAGACACACATTCAGGTATGTGGACTTTGTACTAAGTAAAGAGGAAATTGTGAAATAGTTTTAATATATTCATTTAGGTTTGAAATTATTCTTTGCTGACTGAGCCAACTTTAAAAGCTGATGACTTTTCAAGTACCTATTATACTTTAAATAACAAAATGTAGGGATAAAGATGTCTGCATGTGTTTAAAAATTCTCCCCTCTTCAGCCACAGAACTTAGTTACTCGTAAAGTAATGATCACAATCATGCAGAGAAAACTTGAAGTTATATATTAACTGGATTAAACTACATATAAAATGTATTTATATCTGGAAACTATACAGAAAAGTGTGGACACTCCCACAAGAGTCTAGAGTTGAGTATTCATTCCAATAACCAACCAGAAATAAGAGTCTGAGAAACTTCCTCTTAATGATTTGTTGCTAAACAAATCAAAGCATTAGATCATTACTATATTTATTGCACTTATGTATTACCACAGTATAGAAATCATTATTTTTTCCTCTACTTCATTTTCAAATAATACTTCTGCTGCCATTTACCAGCCATAAGTAAATGTGTTTTTACTGTGAAATTTCCCAGCTAGTAATTAGATTTCACTAGTTAAAATATTTCTCTTGTGACAGATATTATTGTGACCATATCATATATTATTGTGATAGATACTAGTATATAGTCCACTTCAGTGGACTAGGCTTTGTCTCCAGTTTATATCAGCATCATTCCATTGACTTTAGAAAAAAATATTATTTCTACAAAATAAATGTTATGATAACAAATCAAAACATACAAATCAATATGAAGGAACACTTCAACAACTTCAACTTTGTGGGGATTTGATATCTAATTCATTGGTGACTGGTCTAGCCTTGGTAGGTATACAGCTTCAAAGGAAGATTTGAATACATTTGTGCTTTCCTTGCAAGATTTTAGGAACTGCCAAGGGGTTTCTCTCTCAGATTTGGTAATSTGGAGGACCTGGTTCTCTCTTTCTTTTTTTTCTTCCACATATTGGTAACATTACTGGGAAATGAAGAAGTGCTAAAACTACTTCTCTTACAATTCTAAGAAATTCGAAGTAGTTTATTTACTTATTTTTCACTTTCTTCTTAGGAAAAGAGTAGAAACTATTTCTATTTCAGTTTTCCAGAAGCTGATCAGCTCTTCATTCACYCAATTGTTAATGACAGTAAAATTGTGAAAAGAACCTTCAATTATTAATCAAGACCTTTCTGTAAAAAAGTAGAGCCCACTAGAAGTCAAGAGACTGGCCTGATATTGTTTGATCGTAAAACATGTCATAACTTTGAGAATGTGAAGAGGTCATTTTAAAAAAAGAAATCTTTGAGAGGCACAGGATTGTASCCATGATCCTGATATCACTTTCCACACAGTATGACCTGACTTGCCAAAGGATACTTTTTAAAGCATTGACTTTTAATATTAATAGCCACACAGGGGAAGAATTAAGTATTTTTAGACTGTTTTGAAAATCTCCATCCTTTTGTTGATTCTTCCTGATCTAAAGCTTAGCCTGCTGTACCATAATTTTCTAAGAAYAGAAGTGCTAAATACTGCAGTTTTTATTGTATCTTCATCTGACAATATTWTTTTTTTTTCAAACTCAGTATATAATCCTATGTCTGCTATTTCTTTGTTTCTTTCTAATGGTGTTCTTATGGTGATCCGAAATAGGGAACGATTCTGCATTGTTAGAAAACTGTCCTTTTTTACTGATGTGTTGAACAAGAAAGCCTAAGAATGAGCAACTCAACCACCTTGGCTGAAAGAAGATACAGCCTCAACCGTGTTTTATTACGCTAGCTGTGAATAAAGTCTGAGAACCCAGAATTGGAGGGCTAAGCCAAGGAACTTATTGATGCTGGCTGATACTTTGCATTTGTTATGGAGAAAATAAATGATTCAGAAATTATTACAGATATTTTGTATTTAACTGGTTCAGTGAAGCATAGGGAAAGTTGCAGCACCATTAGTCAAASCATCATTCACCATTGCGCACCACACATTCCAGCTCCAAAGGTCTGGGGTGAATAAAATGGAAGTTCTTCACTCCTAGTGGATAAAGGTGAAAAGAAAAACTAATACTTGGTCTTCCAGGTAGTCTGACTCATCAAATGACTGTCTAATATTTCCATCTTTTTTTCAGATGAGGAGAAAAAATGCCCTGAATTTACAGATCTTAATATAGGCAATGCTTTGACTGGAACGAATCTTGAAGTCCAACTGCTGTTAAACACAAGGGAAAATCCAGATTGTTCAGAGAAACTAAATGAACACAATGTTACAGCATCTGAATATCTTAATACCTCCAAGAAAATTGTATTTGTTGTTCATGGCTTCAGACCGACAGGATCTTCACCAGTATGGCTAGGTGACATGAAGACCCTTTTACTAACTTCAGAGGATATTAACCTAATTATAGTTGATTGGAATCGTGGTGCTACAACTCTTAATTACAACACTGCTGTTGAAAATACCAGGAAAGTTGCAAAAATACTGAAGAACTATATTGACCAGATGCTGGTAAGGCAGAGAGTTACATCATTYGTATAAGTTTAAATGGCATAATCTGGGTGGAAATTAATATTTAGAACAATATCTGAAGAGAAGCACAGTGGAACATCCATTAACATGTCTTTCTAATTTCTTACCAATGAACTTTGCATGCAGCTATTACTGCACATCTTGACTTCACCTAAGTTCTCATTTCATTCTCTCTGAAATAAATAGTGATTTTTGTCATTTCATTGAAATATGCCTGAGGCTGCATTTCATGTGATTTCTTTGGTCATTGAAGAGTTTCATGTCTTCTGAAAAWTGCTAATGCATCAGTAGGAAGGTGAAATGAGATACTGTAATACAATTTGACATTCTATTTTGACAACATTAAGATGTTAGAAATATGCACTGCTCTTAAATATAAAATTAAAATAATTAAATATTTTAAATTAAAATCTCATAGTGATATATAAATATTTGTCGCAAAATTATATGTGGTCATTGAAAAATATGTTGATCCCAGTGTCTTAACTGGTCTTTAAATTTATGTTTTAAAAAATCAAGAAAATGTGTAATCATCTTTACTCCATAGATATATCACTTAATTTTTCCTCCATTTTCAGCACTTCTCTTTCCAGATACTCTTAGAAAATTTAAATGCCCTATAGTAAGAAATTATTCATGTAGAATTTGAGAAAGGGAAAATAATATTTTGAGAAAAAAAAGAGATGAAAGTAGAGACAGCTCTCCGAATCTGTCCTCTGGGTTCAGAAATAATGACAACTATTTGTAACTGTAGTATACAGTTATATATGTGATATGGAACAACAAAAGAAAAATAGGTTTACATACACTCCGCTATCCAGACTGGGATAAAAAGGTGCATTTTGCAAATTCTCTTATGTAGCTTTCTGGTCGGTTGCCTGTCATGTGCCCCATCTAGTAAAACAGTGGCCTCAGAGGCTATCTGAACTATGCATATGTAGATCTTGCTAAGTCCTACTCTGTGAGCCAGCAAAATGGTAGTAGTGTATTGTGTCCCATCACCATCAGTTGAATTCTTGTGAGCTGCCTCTGTTAATTAATTTTGAGAGGATAGGTGCCTTGATTCTAACCCAGAGTTCCATAGAAGATTTTAAAATACTGCCTCCTTTGTAGAGTGGGCATGCTAAGGCTTTCCTGCATGCAGGCCTTTGGCAGCCTTATTTAGCTGTTTCAATGAATAAGTGATGTTAATACTTTATTTATTTATTTATGGAAAACAAGGCATGAGGGAAATTCGCTTCCCCCGCCACATTTCATAGTTTTGGTTCTTCTTTCATGTTCTGGTGAAACTCTTCTCTCCTGGTGCTCCTCACGTTCAAGTAGACTTGCACGACAGTTTGAAAGAAATGATACTCAGGGTTCCGTTTTACATTTTTAACTAGTGAAAAAATTTGTAATTACTACATTATGTAGCTAGTACAGATTTTTTTTTAAAGTTAATTAGAAATATAACATACAGTACTGACAAAAAATGAAAACTAAATCAGCCTAGAAATTGGGGAGCCCTGTTCAATTAACTATGTTGCAAACTTTGCTTGTCACTCTGGAGATCAGTCATGTCTTTTTTTTCGGGTTTTTTTTTTCCTGCTAGGCAGATGGAGCTTCTCTTGACTACATGCACATAATTGGAGTTAGCCTTGGGGCTCATGTAGCTGGTTTTGTTGGCAAGAAGTATAATGGCAGACTTGGCAGAATTACAGGTAAGATTGTAATCTTGGCATGTCTTCTAAAATACCTTGGCTAGTTCTCATAGATGCAAAATATAGATGCTAGTACTGAAATATCAACAAAATCAAAAAAYAAATAATGGATATGTAGTAACATGCAAGGTGAAAAGGCATCCTTGATATAAGTTCCAAAATTTGTGAAAGTCTGATTTGAAATAAGTCAAAGTTAATTTTTTCAAACAATTTTCTTCTAATTCTTTGAGCAAAAATTGAATTCTATGTTCAGATGTCACTTAAATGACATGCTACCCAAGTTCTTTATCTAGTTAGTAGGGCAAATTGATTCCTTCCAAAGGCAGATTCAAAAGTTCCTAGACGATAGGATTTGGGCGCAAGGACTAGTCCTTGGTCCAGTCCTGTTCAATTTATTCATCAACAACTTGGATGAAGGGATGGAGTCAGCAAGTTTGCTGATGATACCGAACTGTGAAGAGTAGCTGATATCCCAGAGGCCTGCACTGACATCCAGAGGGACTTGAAGACACTGGAGAACTGAGTGGTGAGAAACCTCAGGAAGTTCAATAAGGGCAAGTGCAAGGTCCCGGACCCAGTGCAACCCCGGACACCAGTACAGGCTGGGGACTGACCTTCTGGAAAGCAGCCCCGCAGAGAGGGACTTCGGCGTCATGGTGGATGGCAAGTTGACCATGAGGCAGCAGTGTGCCCTCGTGGCCAAGAAGGCCAACGGGATCCTGGGGTGCATTAAGAAGAGCGTCTCCAGCAGGTCGAGGGAAGTGATCATCCCCCTCTACTCAGCCCTGGTGAGGCCACATCTGGAGACTGTGTCCAGTTCTGGACTTCCCAGGACAAGAGGGATGTGGAGCTGCTGGAGAGAGTCCAGCGCAGGGCTACGAGGATGATCAGGGGCCTGGAACATCTGCCCTATGAGCAAAGGCTGAGAGAGCTGGGCCTGTTCAGCCTGGAGAAGAGAAGGCTGAGGGGGGCCTGATCAGCGTGTATAAATACCTCAAGGGAGGCAGTGAGGAGGAGGGGGCCAGTCTCTTTTCAGTGATGGCCAGCGATAGAACTAGAACAAACAGCCACAAACTGAAGCACTAGAAGTTCCACAGGAACTTAACATTTAACTTAACATTTCTTGACAGTGAGGGTGACAAAGCACTGGAACAGGCTGCCCAGAGAGGCTGTGGAGTCTCCTTCTCTGGAGATCTTCAAAACTTGMTTGGACACAGCCCTGTGCCACATGCTTTAGGTGACCCTGCGTGTGCAGGGGAGTTGGACTAGATGATCTCTGAAGGTCACCTCCAAACTTAATGATTCTATGATTATTTTCAATGTAAGTTATCTGAACATGATATTTAATATATTGGCTTTAATATATTGGACTATTTTTTATAATAAATTAAAATCAGATGTGCAACCTGAGTATGACCAGTGCAAATCTCATCTAAATTTGTAGCATCATCAGCATTGGTGGTGGTAGCCAGGGTACCTTGAGGAAACATCTTTCAGGGATAGGGTCACAAAGTGATAGGATTCACTTTTAGATGAAGGTTTCTGGAGCAGGACCTTGTGCTAATTTGTGTATGCAGGCTCCTAATACTAGTAATGGTGAAAGAACAAAACTCAAAAGTAGTCAGCATGTTGAGAAAAAAAGCTGGCTGAACTGACTCGTTGCAGCRGAGAGCAACAAAAATGATTAGGRGACTGGAACATATCTCGTACGAGGAGAGACTGAGTGAGTTGGGCCTGTTCAGCCTGGAGAAGAGAAGCCTGAGACGGGATCTGATTAACATGTATAAGTTCACGAAGGGAGAATGTAGGGAAGAAGGGGCCAAGCTCTTCTCCGTGGTGGCCGGTGACAGGATAAGGGGCAATGGGTATAAGCTGCAACACAGGCAGTTCCATCTCCATGTGAGGAAGAACCTCTTTCCTGTGAGGGTGCCAGAGCCCTGGCCCAGGCTGCCCAGGGAGGCTGTGGAGTCTCCTTCTCTGGAGATCTTCCAAACCCGCCTGGATGCCGCCCTGTGCCCYGTGCTGTGGGTGTCCCTGCTGGAGCAGGGGGATTGGACTAGATGATCTCTAGAGGTCCCTTCCAACCTCAGCCGTTTTTGTGATTCTGTGATTCTGTGACTAATAGAAAATGCTGTTATGAGGTGACTCCAGGATCCTGATACTCCCGATACAGGCTTTATGAAAGAAGCTGTCCTCAGGCCTATCTCTGCCTATATTCCAAAATGTAATAGGAGTTAGTCTTGAAAAAGGGAATTAGAGACTCTTTCCCTTTGGTAAAATGATATGGTCAGGATATTTGCTAGGACTGTGATAGGCTCCTGTTACATACCTTTAATTTGAAGACTCATTTTCACTGCACTGAATTCTTTAGAGCTTGCGGGCTTCAGTGGCTGGGGCAGGCTTGCTGCCAGTATTAGGTTAGCACACTTTTTGGCTTCTTGCACTGATTGGGAGTTAGTAGGTCTATATCATTTCTGGACTCAGATGCTCAATGGTAAATGGAATTACATTAAAAGTTATAACCAGCTTCCTGTAGTTATAAATATTGATGAATAATGACAAAGTTTGGATAGTCCAAAAACACAAGACTTGTAACTTCAKCAGTATCAGAGATGAGAACTATCTTGGGTATGGGTGGCGAGAATAGTGATTTCGTGGATTTTGTGTTTATGAAGCACATAATAGGTATGCTATTTTTCTGGGAGGGAAAGAAAAAGAAAAGGTAGAATGAAATCTCCTGACTTGATCTCTAGGGCTGTTGCCTTAAATTTTTTTCTGGAAAATGGGAAGAGAAATTCAAAGATATGGGTTGATTAGTCTTATAGTAGGAACCATAGGGTTGCTTARTAATTTGAAGAATGGAATTTTGAAAACAACTGTGCAGTTTTTCTGGTCTTATTTTTATATTCCCCAAAAAATGTGTGAATTGCTGTGAATGCTAGTCTTGTAGAGGACTGTAGAAGCAGACCCCTGGATTTGTAATGTTAACACTGTTTTCTTTCAGGTCTTGATCCTGCAGGTCCTTTGTTCTCTCAAGAACCACCAGAAGGGAGATTGTATTACACCGATGCACAATTTATTGACGTAATTCATACAGATATTGATGGTAATTGCATAGCTTTAACTTCCCTATTTCAATTGGAGGAAAGATAGGAAAGAGAAAGATAGGAAATGAAGGGATAAGGTAATTCAGGAGCATCCAAATTGCAGTGGTGTATTCTGTGAATCAGTAGGATATCTGTGCTGTTGCTTCCAAGTGGTTTCATCTATATGGYTGACATTAAATTGTACCTAATTATACCTATTCTTCAAGAAATTGAAGTCAACATTGCTAATGACTTCAGCATAATTAGCCATTTCATTCAGTTCTGATATGAGAAGCCCTCTTATTGAGTGAGTTAATTTTCATGACTGAACTTAAAAATAACGAAATAACAGTTTTCATTTCAAATAACAATCTATAGGTATTTGTAGCTAGCTATATATTGTTAAATTCATTCAATGTCACGTGACAGTAGAGATTGCAGCAGTTGTTTATCCTGTTTGTTTTATCATATGCATTATGAATAAGAAAAAAAGAAGTCTTCAAATTACATAGTACATTATCTATTACATTAATTTAATATTTTTTTTTAACTTATATGATAGTTCCCTTTTGAGATATCTGGTGTCAGTTGTATCATATAACTACTCTGTACATTGCTTATAATTCTATATAGAGTCATATTATTTTAAGGTTAAAATAAAGATTGTGGTAAATCTGCTATAATATCTCCAAACAATAACCTTTTTCTTTTCTTTTCTTTTCTTTTCTTTTCTTTTCTTTTCTTTTCTTTTCTTTTCTTGAAAAACATAAATAAACATTTCAAAGGCACCACTTGTCCCATTACTTGTGTAGTTTTGTATCTGTTATTTTTTCAAAAATATTCAAGCTGAGGGTTTTTTTTGGTAGAAATTTACATGCAAATGTTCAACATTTCCTTTATGTGGATTAAGATAATGTGTTATAAAGGAAGGTATGTCTATTTGGACTAAATGCTGCTGAAATAACTCATTGCCTTTTATGAGGCAAATATAATTTTTTTTTCTACTTTATTGTGATTTATTGTTTTAATTAGCGTAGCTCAAAATCCAGCATCTGGTGAAAAAAAAGGAGTTATAAATGAATTATATGTTGGGATAGAACTTTGTTTACTATACAGGACATGCATTTCATAAATTTCTCAGTGCAAGTAACTCAACTGCAATATGAAATTGTTAGTTTTCTGTGATATTGTTTCTCTTTTGTGGCCATACGCATATAATGCATAGATTTGCATACATAGAATGAAAGAGTGTGCCTGCAAAAATTTTCTTTAAAATTTCCATGTAATGATAAATTATTCATTGGATGATTCTATTTATGTGCTTTTGATTTATGTTTTTACTTCAGCACTAGGTTTCAGGAAACCTTTAGGAACCATCGATTTCTATCCGAATGGAGGAATGGATCAGCCTGGTTGTCCAAAAACAGTATTTAGTGGTAAATAAAAATGCTTGCTGTTAATAAGGAAAGAATCTGAGATCAAGTGAAAAAAAGCCAAACTCATGGAGCCTACACATGTTCAGTTTTATGAGGGCTAGGGTATTGTATTYTTTCTTTTCCATTCCTATTCAGCAAATGAGAAATAATACAGACAAATAATTTTTCTTTTTAATAAAAATCTTCCTATAATTACACAAGCACACACATCCCATCACAACATTATTATTCTTATTTATATATAGTCTTCATATAATGTTTTTTTTGTTTATATATTTATACAAAAAGCTTTACTTAACAGTTTATATAAAGTTTGATTTTTTTTCACTTAAGCACTCAGTTGGAGATGCTATAAAGCCTACTTTAATTCAGCTTTTAACTCTGTTCCACTACAGTTCTATAAATTTGATAGGATATAGYAGACTATTTCTAGCGTATAAAACCCTGTAGACTTGTTTCATATCTGTATATTCTATATAGTTTTCATTTTCTTCTTTTTGTGTATATTGATTCTTTTCTTACACTGTCAAAAACTTAAAGTGAAACAAATCACATGCAGCTGTTGATGGTCGACTAACCAGAGAATAAAAACATGGCTAACTAAGAATAACTGAGCTAAAAAGGGTTACTTGAATACCATCCATTCTCACCAGAAGAATAAATAGTGAATGTTCTTTGTATACTTCTTTTTTTCTCAAGGATTTCAGTATTTTAAATGTGATCATCAGAGATCTGTCTACCTCTTCCTATCATCCTTGAAAAACGGGTGCAACATCACAGCATATCCTTGTGACTCGTACTTTGAGTACAAGAGAGGAAAATGTGTCGATTGTAAAGCTTTTCATCCCATGTCCTGTCCTGTACTGGGTAAGACTTATGGCATCTCCTCTGGACTGAGTGAGATTTTCTCAGTAATTTAGACTTGTTCTTTCCATGACTACAAAGGTCTGTAGTTTCTTGTTAGAGATTGTTTACAGAACTGCATACTGTTCAAAATAATTTAAAGTTTATGAGTTTGGCTACTTTATAGCTATTTCTGTTAGAAAAAAAGTATTGGATGTTACTTAAGTTTGATTATTAGTGTTTCTAATCTGAAATAGATTCACTRTGAATCTTCTCTGCACAGAGAAACTGCTTCTACTTATCCCATCACTGTAGGCTTCTATAATACAATGTCATCTGTAGAAAARCTGTGATTTTTTACTTGGAGTAATAATGTTCATGGCAACTTYATGGAACTTTTGCTCTACATCTCTGTTGGAGTCAAGTTTTTGTTTGAAATATATGTTTTTTTTTAATTTCAAGTTTAATTGTTTATTATTGTTTTAGAGAGGATCTGGGGATAGATTGAAAATASCTACAATAGTATGAACATTCCCAGTTAGTAATGTTTTCTTAAAAAATAAATGTTTAAACAGAAATTTAAATAGAAGTTAACTCATATCTTGTCTTCATCCTTAGACCTACATGTAGCAGCTGAATCAGGTTTGCAATTAGAAGAGGAATTTAAAGATATATACTATTTTATATATAAAAAAAGAAACTATAGTGACACATCATAGTAGGGCAGAAAGACTCCAGGACTTCTCCAGAATTGTTATTAGGCATACCTGATGCACTGACACAGAAGACCTGGCCTGGAAATGGATAAATGTTTGCCTAAACAGGTGTTATCTTTTTTTCTTATATAACTATAAAACCTATGAGGAAATGGCAGGGAGCTGAACCYGAAAACTGGGAGAATAAACAGCATCCCTTTTCAGATGCTTTAAACCAGCCCTACATCAAGATCAAAAGATCATAAACATAAAATTACATAAAATAAAATACTTTCTATCATACATCCATGAGCTTAGCAGGTTTAAAGAGGAATTATTATTTTTATTAAATAATATCCACAATATAATAAATATGTACAAAAATATATTGAAAGGATGAAATAAACATGTACTACATTCTGCTAGGCTGAGGTGGTTCCTACTTTTCCTTATCAATTTACTTTCCCACACAATCTTTTAGAAAGTTAAAGCCAAATCTGCCACTTTAGATGACATACTTTTGTGTAATTATATGCATATCATGATTTTGCTCAATGTCTGAAATGAAATATATGAACTTTTCATTTCAGGTTATTATGCCGATAGGTGGAAAGAAGTGTTGATACAAAATAATTTACCAACAAAAGCTTATTTTGATACTTCAGACCATGACCCATTTTGTAGTAAGTGCATGACTATGTACTAAACAGACTCTTTATATAATGTTATGATTGTAATTTGTTAGCTGATCTTGTTTGAAAGCCTGTATTTGATTAAAAATAGGAAGTTGTTGCTACATGCTTTATAAAATGGTGTAATAAACCATCATCTGTCAGCACACAGCCTGGGAGAAAGAGAAGAATTATTATGGCAGAAGAGTTACCCAATAAGTAAACTGAGTAAGAGAGAGAAAGAAACGTTACATAAAAATAACGAAAGATGAGCTGCCAAGGAAGCCAGAAAATGAATATCAAATGACAGGGCAAAGCCTGGACTGAGAGAGAACCTGCTATGACGGGAACATTATTGCCGATTTTCAGAGAGCAAAAATGTGTAGCAAGATTGCCTTGAGGGAGGAAGGAGAAGAAACATTCGTATGCTCCACCCTGGGGAGTGGAGTGCCTCTTGGTGAACTAAAGCTTCTCCAGCTAWTATAGATCCATTTCTCCTTAAGAAAACCAATAGTGGGGAAAGTTGGRTGACTATTATGGATACATTATATGGGAATGAACCCTTTTAGTATAGCCTTTAGCTACAGTAGATTTTTACAACAGTATTTACCTAGCATTGGGGAGGTCGTAGTTAGACTCTCATCCAGTTTCCCTTCTTTTTCTGCCAGATTTTACCACCACGGCTCAATGTTAGCACACTGCTCTAATTGGTTATATTTAGGTTCTTTGACACATGGTATGCAGAGATTGCGGGGAATTCAAGGGAAATCAACTTTTTTCATTAGCTTTTATCCATCATTTTGGCAAGTTTTGTGGCCAATGACTAAATACTTTTTGTTATTGTGGTAAATATGCACTTACTTACRTCACTGCTTCTTTCAAACTGCCAAGAGAGGTTAAAAAAGGTTTTATAGTATTTTACATAATCTAGTGCTAGGGTCATCAGTGACCATCAGGATGAAGTTGTCTTAGTGTGAATGGCGAGAAAAGGACTTGGATAGAAAAGCCTAAGGCACAATTTAAAAACTTCATATATATTTGTGCTGTGGTGGAGGATGAGAAGGAGAATACARCTTTGCTCCTTCTTGGGCAGTCTTAACATTTGGGCATTTATCAAAGGTCCATCCAGGCAGAAACCTTTTGACAGAGAAACACTCTGTAGAAGATGATATATGATAGTCTCAGGTGGGATGGTAGTAGGTAGAGAAGGAAGGAAAAATTTTATCAAATGTAGAAGGAAATGGAGAGGAATATGAAGTGTTGTAGTGGCAATTTGAGATTAAGGGAAAATATACAAATTCAAGGAGAAAAATGAGTCTAATAAACCAGTCTGAAAAAGGAGGTATTTATTAATTAAAACCTTATCTTAATTCTTAGATGTTTGGAAACATGAGGAAATAGGAATAAACAAGAAACCTTAAACTAAGTGAAACTATAAAGCTGATCAGAACAGGTCCCATGTAAGGTGAGGCTGAGTCTTTTAGGGGAGAATGTTAAAAAGCAATATCCAAAAAAAAAAAAAAAAAAAAAAAAAATCAATTGGCTTATTTGGTTTGGGTAGAAAAGCTCTATTTGCTCTGGAGACCTGAGTTATTAAAACACTAGTGGTGATTAGAGAAGTGCCTTTGAAGGCCAAGTTAGGGTTTCTTAGCAGTACAGACCAAACTCTGCTTGTGCTGCCAGCTGCACAGGCTCAGCTGCACCCATCTATCTCACGTAGCGTGCTTGCACTGAGGGTGCCAGGCCCAGGAAGCCACGGCRTGTCTCCTGAGGCTGTGAGCTCTCTCAGGAGAAGGGACTAGAGCTTGGGAGAGCAATCAGCCCCTGTGTCCTCTTCCTCCTTCATCCCCATACAGTTTTTCAAGTATCCATGGCATTTCCACTTCAGAACAGGCTGACTTGCTCTGAGAGGAGGGTGCTTGGAAGACTGTGCTGCTACTCTGGCTGAGCAAGCAAAGCAGAGAATTATGTTTCTCTTCATTTTTTTTCCAGTTGTTAAATCTGCTCACCTGCTCACTGTGCACTTCACCTGTGCATAAAGCTTGTGTGAACACTGTTCTTCCCCTCTTTCTGCCAATGTGCCGTAACTRTTTTCTGGCAATACTGCTTCTATGGGTAACATGACAGTTTAGCAAAACTACCCCCTCTTTGTGGAGCTTGCCAAACCTGAAGGTGCCAGTCAGGGCTCAATTTTGCATGCTTTTCTTAGGCAGGTCAAATTCTTCACATTAATTCTGAGAGCAGCTTTCTGATGCAAATCCTTTCCTTGTAAGAACKTGGAGAAATAGAAGTTATTTACACAGAAATTCAAGTACCTACTTTCTGTTAGTAGTCCTTTTGTCCTGGTTTAGACTGGTAACTTAAAAGTAATGAGTCACAATTATACTGATCATTCAGTGAGTATTTTTAATAAGTAATAAAAACTGTATCCTGTTGAGATAATATCTTGAATATATTTTTTTCTCCTTCTTCTCTTTGTAGTATATAACTACTTATTGGATATCACTACTTGGAATAAAAATACCAGGAGAGGTTTTATTAGAGTTAAAATAACTGATCTTGCTGGAAAGACAGTAGAATCAGAAATGGATAGGTAAATAATTTTTTTTTAATCTCTTCATATGACTAATTTCCTGAATTCTGTAAACCTTTCATCTGACCTGTTAACTCAGCCAGAGGGCATCATGGAGTTATTAATTCTTCACTTAAGTTCCTTTTTCAGGATCTTATATGGCTCAGAGCCAGAGGCCTGTTTTTCCCACACCCAAGTGCTATTTGCTCTGCTTGCCAACTAGCCCATATCTTTGCATGCTATTGGTTTGCATTTGATTCTAGATGTCGTTGTTCTGAATACTCTCAATCCATACATTTTACAAGATTTCTGTTCTTAAAAAAAAAAAAAAGAAAMAATTAATATTACTCTCACAGTGAAACACTGACCAAAAATTACTATTTCTCTTTAGTGAGGCTGCAACCTTTCAGCAATACAGAAGAGTCAAAATACTAACAGGATTTTACCAGGATTTGGACAAAATATCRAGAATTTCCTTGACCTTTTCTACAAAGTCTTTAATAGGACCAAAATATAAGCTCAGGATTCTCCAGATGAGGCTAAAATCTCTTAATAACCCAGAAAGGTAAGTGTTAGTCAGGTTTTGAAAATGTACATCAACTAAACTAAGCAACATCTTTTCTCAGGAAGGTGTATTTTCCTCTGTTGATTTTTATAGCATATTTCTAAGTGAATTAATATCCTTAGGAAGAAACAGAACACTTACTAAYCAAAATAGTACCCTCAAATATGTGTCCAACAGACTTTATTAACTTACTGAAGGCTCTCAGGTGAAATGGTGTGATTTTATTTAAAAAACATCTGTTAATGAGAAACTGCCAAAAGTCTAAGTCATTTGGCATTTATTCCTAACCTAATGGTGACAAATCAAAAGATTCATTGCATGTAAGGCCATCAGGAATCAAGACTTTGAGTTGAATAGTTTAGTGAATCCAGAATGCTTTCAGTCAATATCCCTGACTGGTTTTCAATTTTCATTCCTGTTTGTTCTGAACTCATTAGTTTTAAGTAAGGTTTTAAAGTAAGATGCACCTGATTTGTTTTAATGTAGGATCCACTAGAGTCCTTCTTATTGAACCTCATCAGCTGATGTGTAAGCACATCAGATGCTTTTAGACAGTGATGAAAAAGACCGTCAAATCTGCAAGTGAACACGTGAAGTTAATTCAAATGCAGATGTTCCAATGTCAGTGGCTGATATAATTACATAATTGCTCATTGTAATTACGACTACCTATATTCACCTTAGCTAGATGCAATTACAGCAATTTGTTAAATACAGGATAATCAACATTAAACCATATTAAAATAAAATCTCCAAATTAATCATTCAACAAAATACTAGGTAAGAAACAGAAGACAGGTGCAAGGATAAGATAATAGCAGTCTCTCTGTCTCTGAGTTAATCATAGGCATTGGGAGTCTGAGAAGCATCATTGGCAGAATTGCTTTCTGGACTGACCTTTCCTCCAAACAGATGGTGTGTGAATGGGAAGGTACTGGAGGGTACATATCATTTTCATATCCTTTTTCTTGTCTAGGAGATAAATCACTGTTGTTCACTCATAAAAGAAAACTTTTGTAACTTGTGTGGTGTCCAGGTGTCAGTTGTCCAACAAAGCTTTTGAATCTGTCAATCAACTCCAAATGCATTTCATGGGAGAAGTAAATTTTAGTCCTTCTACCTTTCTTTATCCAAAACAAGAACAGGAATACTAAAAAAGAAAACAATTATTAGCACCTTTTTTGAAAAAGAGAATGAAAAAGAGTATTGACCGTCTCCGAGAGGTAGTAAATGCTGCAGGTTTAGGAATTTGGATTCTAAAATGTTTCTATATTTCTTTTCTCTACTGCGTATTTTTTTATGTCTTATAGGCTGCAACTGTGCAGATATGATTTTGTGTTGATGGAGAACACTGAACTGACCTTCAAGCCTATCCCATGCTAAGAAAGTGATATAGGAAGATGGAACTTCTGCTAACTTCATTTATCTCACAGCAGTGACATTTTGATTCTTTCTCGGGATAAAGACTGCAGTGAGAGAGGAAATGAAATGCTGGATTTATTTTCAAGAATCTGTGGTAGTATTTTTGAAGCCCTGTGAGTACCTTAGAGTGAAGTTTATTGGAAAGGATATTTTTGGGGGATTTTTTTCCGAAATTAAACAAGTGTATCAAGGCAAAGAATATGCAATGCTTTCTTTATTCACTATTATTTGTTAGTGGTGAGGGGGCTACTGAATTAAATATGAATTATCTATATAATCTCAACACATTATTTATCAAGTCATATGTATATTTATTTATTCTTTATAATGGTTTTTATATTGAAAAATAATTTCTTTTTGTTAAGTGAATTTGATACATACCGTACATGTAATCTGTAGATATAATATATAACAGTTCTTCTGCACTATATTCCTTGAATAAATGAAATCACATTTCTTATTTTTTGTCTCAGTCTCTYAGAAGATGAACAATAAAAATGTGAACATATATGTAAAATTATTGTTTAAATCAAAAATCATTTGAATCAACACATCTTTATGTCTATGTCCATCTAAGGTGAATATTATTACAAACCATTCAGACTTGTTTTTCTAATATAGCTATAGAAAAAGCACTGATGTTTCAGGTATGAAGTAATTGTAAAGTCTTTCATGAAGAAATTAGTTTAAAGATGAAATATATGCATTTTCATTTCAGTTTGTGCTCCTTGCAATTAGAGCTGCTGCACGGGTTTAAATGGTTGGCAGCTTTTCAGCTACTGGAATGTGAGCAAGGGTAAGCCCTACATAAAGTTCACCTCCTCCAATTCAGAATAGCTGCTGCAAGTCCAGTCACTTTGTCTTTTCTGATGATTCAGTTTGAAGAACAAATATGTGTGTGTATATATATAAATATATATATATTCTTTAAGGTTGTTTTGTGTATTTATTCTTCTTTTCTTGTGTAAATGAGTCCTTTTTATCTTTTCTGTTCTTTCCTATACCCCAACTGTCCCTGCCCTTGACAGCAGTAGGTCACTGAACCTGTTGCTCAGTTTCAGCTAAATAGGAATGGARTGGAACGTCAAAAAACTATGAAGTGGTAAAGAATTTTATGAAAATGCACAAAGCCCTGAACGAGCCATAGCATGTGCTTTTACCTGTCTAGACTAAGAGGTAAAGAGCTATAGGAGGGAACTGTAATCTTGGATCTTGAAATGATCCTTAGATATATGACAACCAAAGTTGCACAGTGATGCAGAATACAGGTAATAATATTTTCATATAATAATATTTTAACTCATTTTAAACATACCTATATAAAAGGTAGGATTGGAATAATGACTTGTTGCTTTAATTTATGTAAATTTGAGGTAAAGAGGAAAGAAGCAGAAGGGCTGATGAGGAATTTCAAGTAATAAAAATGAGACAAAGTGAAACAGAGTTTTGGTTCTAATTTCCCAATTTACTTTGTAATTTCCATTTCTTAAGAGAGGCTGTTCCAGGCAATGCATTTCCAATGCATAATCGCACTTCCCAAGTGACTAACCACTTGCAATATAGCCTTGGGTCTCCCAACCACGATGAAAATATGCTGTAATTGTTCAGAAATGCACTGTTGGATATGGCCCACTGCCACATTCCACTTTGTACTAATTCTGTCATCTCTCCTGAGCTCAGCAGAAGGTATCAGGGTCAGGCAGAAAATGGAAATCTTCCAAGGAGTTCCCTGGTTTGAAAGGGGTGGTGTTGACAGTTCAGTGGCATCCGCATCTCCTTTTACGTCAGAGCTCAAGATGGGGTTTGATGGATTACAATACTCTTCTGCATAGTTTTTCACCTTGTAAAATATCCACTAGAATCTTTGATTTTACTACAAATGGTGTACATACTTTTTAACTGAAAAAAAAAATCAAAATATAGAAACAATTTCCCATGGGAAAATCTAAAATGAGGAAACGTGTTAGGACTTGACCTGAAATATTTACCCTAMAGATCTAAACTAAATTCTTGTATTTTCTTCTGGTTCAATATTCCTTCCACCTGTAAGCTGTGAGGCCTGATAATAATAATATTTTGATTTTCCCACCAGGATTGAAGACTGTCCAGTCAAAAAAAGTCATAATTTATAACTTTATTTCAGTAGTTTCCTTGTGGTTAGTGATTTTAGCCCTAAGGAGCAACCTCTATAAATCTGAGGAAGGAGATATTCCATGAGTAAAACAAAGGCCTGTAACTAATGGGGCTAGTACTAATGTTGGCTTTCAGTAATGCCAAATGGATAGTGTTAGCATATGCTTCTAGTAACAAATTCCAAATTGTTTCTGTCCAATGCAAGAAACTTTAGAGATCTAATGCAGTGTTTGTTTAGTGCTTGTTTGCAGGAAGATGAAAATTTTAAGTGACAACTTTATAAAACTTATATAAATATGCTTTCTGTATACCTGTCTTAGTACTGATCCGTATTTGATATTTTTTTCTTTTAGTTTAATCATAYCATTTCAAGTGGGAATATACTGAGAAATTGATTAAGCACTAGTACCAACAGCTTACTAAAAAGAAAAGTGATGTAAAGTGCAGGATTTTTTTGCTGCAAGACTAATAATTCACAGTATATTTAAATGGTCTATATTAAGGATATGTGGCACAAGACCATTTGCCAGTTTAATTTGGGATAGCWTTATTGATTTCAGTGATGCTATACTCTGTCAAGGTTTAAGATCTCTGCCACAGATAACTTAAGAAAGATTGCTTTCACATTGGGATTACTCAGTTGTATCAGGTTAAGTGCAGATATATGCTGGTAAAATTAAGGACAATATTAATATCCAACTAAATGGAAAACTACTTAGACAATACTGAAAGGAAGACAGATTACATTTCAGGAAGAAGAAAGTCTCATGGAAACACTTGTTATTTTTGATGGAAATTTTGCACAGTTATGGGTTACTTCTAAGGACTGTTCCAGGTAATTAAGAATCAGGTGAGACACACCTGACTGGGCAGCAAATGATGCACCACTGTAGCACAGCAAATAAGAGTGAGAGGGGAAAGATTCAGAGATGTCAGCATGAAGAGGTACTTAGCCAGAACATAAGCTAAATGCAAAACTACTCCTAAAAAGTAGTGCATTTGATAGCTGTCACTATGGGCACTCAAAGGGTTACCACAATTTCTTGTTTCACTTTGAAGTTTCCCAGATTTCATTTGAACATGCTTGCATATATACATCAGTGTGAGTTAGGAGTGGTTTGACACTGCCTCCAAGSTAAGTCAAAGTCTAGTAATTCTTACACGTTTCCTTCAGTCTGATGGGCATGCCTGGTGCATGTGTGATTAGCGATCAGAGTACATTTGGTATTCTCCAGGAAGGCCTCTTTCACTGCAATTTCTTTGGAAAGGAATGATCTCTGCATGCTCTGAGACTCTGAGGGGCTCTCTGATGGCCTGCAATGCGAGCTAAACGTGGTAAATTGGGATCATCATTTCAGAAACATACCCTGATCCAAACCAAAAGCCTTATGCAGGCATTGTGAAAATACTGCAGCATAAGGAGATCTATTCACTGGGTGCTTCTGAAAATTAGAAGATGATTCATACTAATATTGGAAGGGTGACAGTCATTAACATCATTAAATATTTCTATCAAGCATAGAGTACCAGATATCCAATTGTATCCTACTTTTGTATTTGAATAAAGGAGTGGTGATTTTAATTAATTTTATCAACTGCATGAAATTTACACATTAAGTACATAGTGTTTATACTTGTTTCTTACAAAGCTCTGAATATAAGCGTAAAGAATGGAGTGCTGGTCCTACCAGTACAGTATACAGAAACAAAGGATRAAATATAGGTGGAAAAGAGAGCTAAGAGTTAAGAAGAGTTAAGATTTCAGAAGAAATGAAAATGTTGTCAGAAGAGGGCAGCCTTTTCACATAAACTATAAAACAACAACAATATGGAAAATATTTTGAATTATTCATTTCACTAGCACTAAGCACATCATTTGTGGGGTTAACTGTGCTAAGGCAACTGAAACATCCACAAAACTTGATCACAGCAAGAGTGGTTCTCTTTTTCTGATACCTAGAGGACTGGCTTTGTAATGCCAGTGCTTTTTGTTTATTTATTATGTTCTTTTTTTTTCTTTCTGTTCAAACAATGGAGTTGGACAGGTTTTTAAGATGAATCAACAAAGGGAAATATGTTCCTCTTACTTTTTTCTTTTTTTTTCTTTAAAAACAAATAAACTTCTGAATACCTTGGGTATTAAGGGCAAAGTGTACTTAGTCTGAATATGCAAAGATAAGTCAATATTTAGTTTAAACCAAAACTAAAAATTGTGTAAATTAAAGGAACAGTGATTTATTACYGTATTCCTCTTCCAGATCATGCCAATCTGTCTTATGTTTATTCAMATAGAAGATATAGTCACAAACATTGTTTCAGAAAGTGAAATTTGTATCATGAGCTTCTGGCATAATTGTAAAGAGATATAAAATATTAAAAAGATGTGCTTGTTGTAATTTTTGGCTCTTGAATGGAAGCAGTAGCATGGAGGCCGTGTCCCCTTGTGAGTAATGTAGCCAACAGTATGTGAGGGCAAAATTGGATGAACTCCCAACCTGTCTAGACTGGGCATGAAAGCACCCATGTAAACAGGCGTACAACATAACATCTTAACCTAAGCAGGACACTTATGTGCATTATACATCAGTATCTACTAAAACTTCTCAATATTAAGACCTTTCCCCAGAAGTCAAATTAAAATGTACAGCATCTCAGCAAAGCTTATTGATTTGGACTCTGTTGCTAGAGACTTCAAAACCAGAGTCTTCATGTCTAGCATTTGGAACAGGAGTGGTGGAAGRTCTCATCTCATCTACCCATAGAAAATATATCTGCTCTGTGCAGAGCCAATAAAGGGCAAAACAGTGATACAGGCCAAAGAGAAAGATTGTAATCAACTCTGCAGATAAACCTAAAATCAGCAGAGTCCTTCGAAGAAATGTAGCCGCAATGCTCTTACACCCTCTATTCTGTCCAAAACAGTATGTAATGCAGCTGCAATGCAATGCTGCCTTTCTCAGGAWCAGGAAGGACTATAGCTTACTGATGGGTTCCACAGAAGGAGGCTGAGAAACAGTGACCTAAAATAGAGGAAAATTTGGGTGAAGCTTATATTGCCTAAATTAACACAGTGACATTTCATTATAGATATTAAAAATTCATGTGTTTGTTCTAAGGCTGAGAGCCCCATATGCCAGCTCTGCAGAACATTGTATTCGACATAGATTTTATCTTTTAAAAAGTAGAAAAGAAGAACAAGGTAATCAGAGAATTAGGAGTCTTAACAGAGACTTAATTTGTTTGCAGATCTTTAAAATGGGACTTTGCCCATTTTGAGTGCTTGTAATTCAAGTCAATACATTCTTTTAGCTTATACATCAATGAA